GAGTCCCCTGCTTGAACGTAATGGACGCTCTCACAGGAGTACCTCTGTCCTGAGGTTTGCGGCAGCTGTGATTTGGGGGTGGGGGCCAGTTATATCCCATTAGTTCTTTCTTTCACGCGTAGCCAGACTCGGTTTAGGACACCCATTTGGCGTGAGAGAAGGGGAAGCCGACACAGTTATTACTTCCCGCCTCTTAGAACCAGAACAAAGTTGACTCTCGAAATAAAAAAATAGCTATGCAAATCTTCCTTCTTCAAGACAAATTCTAAGAGGTTTGTTTTGATTCTTTTCCCTCGTCCTTTCTCTCTCTTGGAATTGTCCCTCCCCCCTTCTCTTTCTTCCCTTTTGGGTAAGAAAAGCTAAAGGTTTAGAAAAGAAGGATGTGGGGTTCTGTATAAATGCATATTATTATTATTATTATTATTATTATTATTATTATTATTAATAATAATAATAATAATAATAATAATGGCCATTTATAGCTTAACTTTAAAAAAGCAACTTCAAGAACCGCACAATCCAAACCGATCGGCCATGCTGGCTAAATGGATCCTTCGTATTTAAAGGCAGTTTACACCTCTAAATCACCTGTGGGTAGCAGTTGGGAGAAACAGGAGGGAAGTGCTGTTTCTGGACTTCCTGGAGGGATGGTGTTGGCTACTCTGTGAAATGGGATGCTGGACTGGATGGATCCTTAATCCGATCCATCTTGCAATTTGTCTTGCTACAGTCCTTCCAACAACCCCGTAACGTAGCTCGGTATCGTTCACTCTGCTCGAGGGTGGCTTTCCTGAGCCATTTAGCAAGTTCACAAGTGATTCAGACCGATGACTTTCCGTTCAGTCTGTTAGCTGATAAGCTGAAAGGGCACGTCCTCGGTTTTCTCTGGCAGGCGGTGGTGTCCTTCCCCCAGGGCATCTGACTGGTCCTCCCACTGGGACATGCCCTACTCCTGCGTTCACTATTCATTCCAAGGAACTTGGAATGTTAAGGGAAAACAGAAACACCTTTGAGACGAACAAACTTTATTGTGGCACAAGCTTTCGAGAAACACAGCTCTCTTCGTCAGATGCACCTGACGAAGAGAGCTGTGTTTCTCGAAAGCTTGTGCCACAATAAAGTGTGTTAGTGATATAGGTGCTACTGGGCTTTTTACTATTTTGTAGCAACAGACTGACACGGCTAACTCATCTGGATCTATGAGTAAGGGAAGAAATCTGAAGTTCTTTTTTTTTTTGGTACACATTTATCCAGGGTGTGGCTATGGGGTGTTGCAAACAGCTCCTGCATTTCAAAATTTACCACTAGACAGAAAAGGACAAGAGTCGCTTGCGTCTCTTTGGCATGGTTTCCCTCAAACACCTGAAGTGATTCTCTGCCACCTTCCCAAGGAAAAAGGCTGATCCTTTCTGGGAACATCTAATTCAACACAACCAACCTGTGATTTCTCCCCCTCTCTGATAATATCCCCCCTCTCGATACTTGTAAGGAAACTCTTGGCAGTTCCAGGTTGCCGACTACAGCCCAGTGCCAAAAGGCAACATCAAGAAAAGGCCTCTTTTCTCAGGTTCTTGTCCCATCTGTTCCAAAAGAATCCAACCACAGTTGGCAGAATTTGGAGTAAATGGGTTTGGGGGTGTCAACCTTTGCATGCTTCTTTTAGAGGATAATTCATTAACTGGGGATAATTTTGTCAATCAAAGGGATGGCGAGATTTTCAACCAAACAAAGAAACAAAGTGGGGGGGGGGGGGGAAGGAAGCCTTGACGGGTTACAAAAGACTCCTTTGTTCAATTTTGCCGTAATGTGCATTCCTTTGAAATCTGTCATCAAAAACAACTTTCTTTTGTAGACTGATGTTGTATTCAGGGGACAATAGAAAGATTTCAGGGGAAAAAATGTTGCGCTGATCTTTTTTACTAAAACTGCTTTGTCCTCCCTCGTGACCCCAAAAGAAACAGAATGGAACCAGCCTTCAAAAAACAAGAGTGAATAATGCCCAGGGACCTTATACAGGCAGTTATTCTAAAACCGCTTACACTTATTTACAATGGTGCTTTATAAAACAAAACAAACAAAAAACGGTAGCACTTCCTAAAAGATTTTGGAACTTTTTTTCTTTTCTTTTTTCCTTCCATTTTTTTTTAAAACTCCCTTGTCAAAAAAGCCAACTTACATTAAAATATACGTACCACAAGACAACACAACTAACAAAATATATAATAAAACTCATACAAGTAGAAAATTCTGAGGTATTTCTGGTTTGAGGTGGTCTGTGGTCATGAAGGTTTTTTTTTCTCTCTCTCTCTCTTTCTCTCACAACTTTTTAAAATAAGTTTCAACCTCGGAAGCCACGCAATGTGTTATGTGTGTTCTTTTTTTTCTTTCTTTCTTTAAAAAAATCATTGCATGTTTTGCAAGTTAAAAAAATATTTAAATGTTGAATCAGCAGCATTAGGAACATTCACTGACTAAGAGCGAGTTTATGGCATAAGAGAATCAACGGTATTTTGGAATATGCACCACTGTTAAGAGGAAAGAGTTGGGTGACAGAGGTCCACCTCAGTGGAGGCTGTAATCCTAAACAACACTCAACCCATTCCCAACAATGGGATTTGCTTCCGAGTAAATGCGCATAGGATCAAGGCTTTGATGATTACTGGTCAGTTAAATTACATTACTAATACAAACCGCTTGGAAACTAGTTTCAAACTGGTTTAAGTGTCATGACTTCCTCTAAAGAACTCTGGGAAATGCAGATTTCCAAGGGCATAGGATCGGGCTTTGATTATTTCTGGTCAGTTAAACTGCCTTCAGTTTGACATGTTAATACGGTCTGTGCGCCATTTCATCTAGGGGTGCAATCCAGACCATTCACAACCAACGGAATTTCACTAGACACAAGCACTGAAGACATTTACTCGTAAGTAAATCCCTATGATTTCAATGGGAGTCAATCAGAATGGAAATGTGCTTTAAACGGCCGTCCAAATTGCATTTCTGACTGTATTCTAGAAATTCTTCTGTTAATCCTTGGAAGCTATAGTACATTAACAAAGCTTCCAGTCACCAGTGTTTTGCTTGGCTGTTTCTTTTCTCTCATTTTTAGATGAAAATCAAACATCTTAGAAAACTAAGCTTTTAAAATTGCTTTCAGACATCTTTTGGGAAATCAGGACTTTGCAGGACTTTTGGCCCAAGATCTTTTTCTCTAAACTAAACGCCAGTAGGGCATTGATTTTTTTTTAATCTCCTGCATAAAATGCAAGCCGAATGGAGTTTTACACAATTTGGAACCCAACATAATGGCATGTGCTTCCACCTTTCCCTCAATTTTTCCAGTGCCAGCCAGGCCAAAAACCGGGTGATTATCCACCTGCTGGTGGGCTGCCACACATGCTAGGTAGCAGGCCGCATTTGGCTCCATGAACTGCAGAGGCTTAGCTGTTGCCTCTTTAATTGTGCAGTCATTAGGCTTTTCTGCATTCCTGTTCTCCTTGCTTATGTGTTTCTGTTGCTTTTCTGTTCTGTGTGTGTTTTGCTCCATCTAGTGGTCAATTCAATATTACACCACTCTATGACCGGCATTTCTCCCTGCAGATTTAAACCAGAGGTTTTTAGGCTGGACATAAAAGCAATCTAATATCAAATGACCACTAGAGAGAGCAAAACATGTGTGGAACTGAACAAAAACCCTGAAGCAACAGGAACACACAAGGGAGGAAAAATGAAAATGTGGAAAAACCCCTAGGCAGAGTTACACCCTTCTAAGTCCATGCAAAGCCAGTGGACTTAGAATGGTGCAATTCTGCTTAGGATGGTACGGCAAATGCATTAAAAAAGACCCTTGCATCATGTTGGTATGAGATAGGGTCAAACCAGATATGACACTAGGAGATTTGCAACTGGATCTTCCTTGTATTTTTTTAACGGTGGGTTGCAGCTGCCAGGGATTCTGGATTCAACCCGGTGCAGCAACATGGAGAGGGAAGGTGGTTTAACTTTTCCGGTGTCTTCCCTGGTTTGACTCTAAATAAGGATTTTCCTTTTTAAACAAACAAGCAAACAAACACTGAAGCCTGCAAAGTCAGTGAAAGGGCTAACTTCTGCCTGTGATCCTCTGTGACCCAACTTCCTCTGTACTCTGCAGCAGTTTAATACTCTGCCTCAAAACTTGCTCTCCCTCTCATTAGCGGTTTACCTGAGAAGTAGCTCTGTAGCAGATGTTTCTCCAGATGCTGCAAAAGTCCAACGTCTCTCTCCTCCCCCACCCCAAATACTAAACTTTTCCCTTTCGATTCTACCATCAAAGAATCAACATTCTCTTCTCAGTTTCTGTTTCCCACCACCCCCCACGTTACAACACCCGTTAGACCCGTAAAAGACACATCTGCTTTTCTTTTTCTTTTAAGCTCACTGTCGACAATAGAAAAGAATTAAAAAAAAAAAAGGAAAAGGAAAGGTTTGGGGCGGGGAAAGTTCCTTTCTGAGGTGTGATTTTATGTAACAGTCTTAAGTTTCCTCCGAATTTTGCAGCATGTCTTGTAGATAGGGAGGTGGTTTTCTTGATATCACAGATGCTCTGAGTTTAAAAAATAAGGAGACATACTGAGAAAAGAGAAAGCCCAGAAAACAGGATCAAAAAGGAAACAAAGTGAGTCCGTTGAGGTTTTGAGGTACCTGCATCAGGTTTGCATTCACTAGTCGGCACCTGAATGCTTGCTGAGATGTCCTCTTTTTTTTTTCTTCTTTCTTCTTTTTAATACAGTAGAGCAATGTGCTGGTAAAATTGATCAAATCCAAAAAAACCCAACAATAATAATAACAACAACAACGACAATAATAATAACAACAGCAATGGTAAAAAGTCAAGATTAAAATAGCAGCTGCGTTCGTGTGTGTGTGTCTGTGTGGTTTAACTCTTTTGTTTTTAAAAAAATCCACTGAGTCTGGAAAGACACCAAAAAAAAAAAAAAAAAAGGGTTTAAGTGAACCAGGATCTAGATACTTGACTCTTTGGGCAGCAAGTCCATGTTGGTGACAGAGGTCACAATGGAAACGAGGCAGTCCGAGGTAGTGCCGTTTACCGATTTGCGGATCTGAGAAACCCGTTCCTCCACGCAACCGGCCGAGAGGCGCGCCTCGGCATCGTGGTCCCAGCACTCTTCAACAGTGATGCAAAGCTGCGCCAGACCCTGGACGGGAGAGGAGGAAACAAGAGGGCTTAGTGTCCTCCCAGAACCCATTTCTCTCCCTTCTCCGCCCTCGTTGCCACTGCCTACCAAGAACTCCTCGACGGGGATGTCCCCGTTTAAGGCATTGTATGGTTATGACAGCCCACCCGTCCCATTTCTGGAAGGGGATACGAACATGGGACCAGGGGATGCAGCCCAATGGTGTAAACAACTGAGGGACTCTTGGCCTCTTTTATGCAAAACATTGGCTGCGGCGAGAGAGGCCTGCAAAACGCAGGCTGATAAGGGAAGGGTGGAGGGTTGGGCTCTACAGCCTGGTGACTCGGTGTATGTTTCTACAAAAAAATATCAACATGTTGAGGCCTAGTCGGAAGTTGGGATGGAAATACATTGGCCCGTTTAAAGTTAAAAGAATCATCAGCGATGTTGCAGTTGACATGGACTTGCCGAAAAATGTGAGAACATTGCATTCTGTATTTCATTTCAGCCTCCTGAAGAGAGATACAGGTTCCTGTTCCTGGCATCCAGTGAAAATGGCGTCCCCTCCTATCATGATTGAGGGCGAGGAGCATTATGAAATATCACGGATTCTGGACTCTAAGATCAAACGGGGGAAATTGCTGTATTTGGTAGAATGGGTGGATTTCGGACCCCAGCACCTCGAATGGGTGGAAGTAGGGGATATTCGGGCCCCTGAACTGTTGCGGCAGTTCCATCAGGAGTTCCCGGACAAACCGGGAGATCTCCCGGACTGACCGGGAGACCTCCCGGAATGGTCGGGAGAAGCTGATTTTTGAGAGGGCAGTATGTCAGCTATGCTGCCATGGGGGTTGGGGAGTTCATTCTGTGTCTTGTTAATTGCTATTGCATTCCTATCCCTGCTGTTATGCCTTTGCTGAAACGCTTATCTCCATAGATGTGCAGGAGGAGGTTGTGTTGTCTGGAGAGCTCCTATGTACCGTGAGAGACTCCGAGTTCTCAGCTTTAGCCACCTAACGGTTGCCTGACTTATCCCGCGTGCGGGAGGGTGTCTAATTGGCCAATGCCATGGGGGGGGGTGCATACGAATACCCTATATCCTATTATGCTCTAGTGGCTGTGGCCATTCTTAACAGTGCCTGTGTTACTGCATCTATAGCTTTGCAATAAAAGTATAACCGTTCCTGAATGTGTGTCCTTCGTTGTTAGCTGTGGGTTTTGACAGTCTTACATTCAAGTAGACAACTTTCATTGATTTACTTTTCCGTTAGGCTATCTAGGCAAGGTCTCCTCCCTTATTTCCAAGCATACTGATGCTCTGCCAAAGTCAAATGGACCCACACCACACCTCTCTCATACACATCATGCCGCTCATTCATGTGATCAACTGCAATTCCAAGATCCTTTTCACAAGTGCGGCTGCCATCCTGCAACAGTGCATTTGATTCTTTTTTGACTAAATTCTGCCTTTCTCTGTATTGAATTTCATTTCTGTTAGCCTGCTCTCTTGCAGCACTGGATAATGCGTTTCCGGTACACATAGTGATCATTTGCAACTGGATTTCCCTGTGTGAAACATGAAAATCCAGTTACAAATGACTGCTATTATGCACTCAGAATGTATCATCCACGAGCTGCCAAAGCAGACCTAGTTTTAAAGCCATATTGTCAGTCTTTGATCCTCAGACTTAAGAGAGGATGAGAAGAAGAAGAAGAGGAGATTGGATTTATACCCCGCCCTTCACTACCCAAAGGAGTCTCAGAGCAGTTTACAAACTCCTTTCCCTTCCCCTCCCCACAACAGACACCCTGTGAGGTAGGTGGGGCTGAGAGAGCTCTGACAGAAACTGCTCTTTTTCAAGGACAGCTCTTATCAGAACTATGGCTTGCCCAAGGTCATCCAGCCAGGTGCAAGTGGAGGCGTGGGGAATCAAACCTGGTTCTCCCAGATTAGAGTCCACACACTTAACCACTACATCAAACTGGCTCACTTTTTGTTGTATGGAGAAAAGAGAAATCCGGATTCCTATGGCAACCTGTTTCTTTCCTCCTTTCCACCGTCCTCTGAATAGCTGCTCAGAGCCATCGCAAAGGGAGAACAGAAATAAATTCAATCTGGAGTTTTGTTAAGGCCTCAAGGCAGTTCCTTCCTAGAAAAATTGCTGCACATTTTTTAGAATGTGGGAACCGACTTCAAAGGGGGCATCTGGTTCAGCTGCACTGTACTTCTCAGCCCGGAGGGTAGCCGGGCTGCCACGCTGCCCGCTTTGGTGGGCAACATCCTACCACCAGCCTCCCCAATCAATGCTCAGATAAGCAGGAGTAAAAAGCGCGCGCGCGGGGGGGAGGCAACATGCAACGTCAACTCCTGGGCGAATACCCGGAAGTGACATCACTGTGCCAGACAACGTTCTAGGAATTTCTCTCGTGTCTATGGTTTGTTTTTTTTAACTACAGAAACTGGAGAAGTCCTAGAGTGCTGCACTATATGCTGAAGTCATTTCCAGGTACTCACCCGGAAGTGATGTCACGTGACATAATTTTTTGTCAACCTCTGTTCCCTCCACCCTCCCACCGATTGCCAGCAGAAGGCTAGCAACCCTAGTTGCCAGAGAAAAGATTACAGACAAAGGACATACAGGATGTTTAAGCCAGTGTTCTTTGAACGCAGGACGCATCTTCTTGTGAACCACCACCTCCTGAAGGTCCTCGAGGGATGGATGCTGACCGATCTCTTCTTCGAATGGCAGCATGTACTCATCCACTGGACCTGAGTATGCACAGAGAAGGGAAAACGTCACTAGACAGTGGAAATCCATGGAACACGGCACAAAACTCTGATCTGGTTCTCACACAGTTCACATCATAATCGGTATTGGGATCCATCTTGGCCTCCTCTGCTCACCCACTTAGAGTTCAACAGAGCATTACTGGAAACTTAGCTGGAAGGGACCTCCAGGGACATCTATTCCAACCCCCTGCCCAAGGCAGGAAATTCACAAACACCTCCCCCACACACACCCCAGTGCCCCCTGCTCCACACCCAGAAGATGACCAAAAACTTTCAGGATCCCCAGCCAAACTGGCCTGGAGAAACATTGCTTCCTAAACCCAATGTGGTAACTGATCAGCATTTCCCAAGGCATGTAAGGAAGGGCCACAAGAACTAAGCACTGATGCAACCCTTCCTGCCCTCCCTCTCATGACCTGCCTAAGGTCACGATAGTAAAGGTAAAAGTTTCCTGTGCTCAAAAGTTAGTTGAATCTGACTCTAGGGGGCAGTGCTTATCTCCGTTTCCAAGCCGAAGAGCCAGCGCTGTCCGAAGACGTTTCCGTGGTCATGTGGCCGGCATGACTAAACACTGAGGCACACGGAACGCTGTTCCCTTCCCACCGAAGTGGTACCTATTTATCTACTTGCAATTTATTGCTTTCGAACCGCTAGGTTGGCAGGAGCTGGAACTAGAGACGGGAGCTCACTCCGTCATGCGGCACACTCGGGTCTCGAACTGCCAAGGTACAGACCTTCTGGTCTGCAGCTTCAGCGTCTTAACAATTTAGGATCTTCCAGGGGGCACCATGAACGGTCTGAATAATGGCCATCTGATTGTGATCTGACTGAACCTGGCTCTTATATGTCATTTTATTGTTGCTTTGTTTGAATTGCTGTTTGTTTGCTTTTAATGTTTTAATATATTATGTGTTCAACTGACATCCCTTGACCTGCCCTGAGCCCGCTTGCATGGGAGAGTGGGATACAAACCAAATAAACAAACAAATAAATTGGGAGTTAGTGTGGCACAGAGGTGAAGGAGGAGGAGGAGACTGGATTTATCCCCTGCCCTTCACTCGGAGTCTCAGAGCGGCTTAGAATTCCCTTCCCTTACCTACAACAGACACCCAGTGAGATAGGTGGGGCTGAGAGAGCTCTGACAGGCACTGCCCTTGAGAGAACAGCTCTGACAGAACTTGTGACTGACCCAAGGTCACACCAGCAGCTGCGTGTGGAGGAGTGGGGAATCAAACCTGGTTCTCCCAGATTAGAGTCCTCGCTCCAAACTGGCTACGGCGTGGAAATCTCAACTCAGCCATGAATTCACCAAGCGATCCTAGGCAAGCATCTCTCCGCCTCCCAACAACTTTGCTGTGTTAATTCTGCTTGGCTGATCCAGGTTTCATTAAAAAAAACACACCACCGTCTTTCAGACAAGTTAAAGCAGTGCCTGCACACTCCGGATCTTTCTCAGCGATCACCTTCCGCATGCTACTTTTGGACGCTTTGCAAAACTGAGTTATTCAGAAGGTCGTTGTTTCTGGAGTGGTCTGTGTGCAGGAAAGGGGATTAAGGAAGGGATCTTGGCATGACGATTCTGGGCACTGGAACTGTTCTGGTGGTTTTACAGTTGTTTCATTCATGGTTTCAAACAGCATCGTAACCTGCCTTGGAATGACTACTGCTGAAAGTTATGGCAGAAAGTGCCAAAGCAGAATTACAGCTGATCATCAAGAAGAAGAAGAAAGAAGAAGAAAGAAGAAGAAGGAAGAAGAAGGAAGAAGAAGAAGGAAGAAGAAGAAGGAAGAAGAAGAAGGAAGATGAAGAAGGAGGAGGAGGAGGAGGAGGAGGAGGAGGAAGAAGAAGAGGAGGAAGAAGAGGAAGAGAGAGGAGGAGGAAGAAGAGGAAGAAGAGGAGGAAGAAGAGGAAGAGGGAGGAGGAGGAGGAGGAGATTGGATTTATACCCCGCCCTTCACTACCCAAAGGAGTCTCAGAGCGGCTTACAATCTCCTTTCCCTTCCTCTCCCCACAACAGACACCCTGTGAGGTAGGTGGGGCTGAGAGAGCTCTCTCGAGGACTGCTCCTGAGAGAACAGCTCTGAGAGAACTTGTGACTGACCCAAGGTCACACCAGCGGCTGCATGTGGAGGAGTGGGGGAATCAAACCCGGATTTCCCAGATTAGAGTCGGCGCTGCTAACCACCACACCAAACTGAAGACAAAAGTAATGACTGCTGGAGAATTATGCAACTTTAAGGCTGAAGATGAAGAAATCAAAACTGTTTGGGATTTTCCGTTCCTTGGCTCCACCGTCAACCAAAAGGGAGACGGCAACCAAGAAATCAGAAGGAGACTGAGACTGGGAAGGGCAGCCGTGAAGGAGCTGGAAAAGGCCCTTCACGATATTCCCCATGACTACGCGTGGGTGTGAAAGTTGGGCAATGAAGAAAGCTGACCCGGAGAAAGTAGATTCCTTTGAAATGTGGCGTTGGAGGAGAATTTTGCAGAAACCGTGGAACGCCAAAGAAACAGATCAGTGGGTTCTAGATCAAACGAAGCCTGAACTCTCCCTAGAAGCTCCCTAGAAAAACCATCGTTTTACAAGGACACGCCCACAGTGTCTGAGAAGACTACCAACAGCAGCAGAAGAGAAGAGGAGATTGTATTTATACCCCACCCTTCACTACCAGAAGGTCTCAGAGTGGCTTACAATCTCCTTTCCCTTCCCCTCCCCACAACAGACCCCCTGTGAGGTAGGTGGGGCTGAGAGAGCTCTCTCAAGAACTGCTCTTGAGAGAACAGCTCTGAGAGAACTTATGACTGACCCGAGGTCACACCTGCAGCTGCATGTGGAGGAGTGGGGGAATCAAATCCGGTTCTCCCAGATTAGAGTCTGCGCTCCTAACCGCTAGAGATGTAAAATTTCCGGAACTTTTCGGAAAATTTGAAAAAAATGCTACATTAGCATTTCTTTTGTCTTTTCTAGATTGAAAGTCATTCTGTTACTTTAGGAACATAAAAAATGACTATGGACATTTTTACTTGGCATGAAATTATCACAACTAGCATATTAAAAATATAGTGTACCCAAACAATTATTACAAACAGAATACCCACCCACATGCAAAAACAAAACTGAAACCTTTTTATTTTCTTCTGACAATCGCACCTCCTAAAGGAAGAAATGCATCTTGTTCTTGCATTGGAGAGTTCAGTTTGTAACCTAGGACTTGCTTGTCTTCAGTGCACAGAAATTAGATCAATCTGATACCATTATATATTTTAGAAATGATTTGGAAAACATTTGAACACCTTGTCTTAAAATATTTTATTTATCATGTTAAAATAAAACATTCCATAATCAATTTCTTTTCTTTTCTTTTCTTTTTTCAATTTTTCCAATTTTTCGGAAAAAAACAAAAAAGCTTCAGGGGAAAAAACGGAAAAAAACCGTTTTTTTTCCGAATTTTTCCGGTTTTTTCCCGGGCCTTCACATCTCTACTAACCGCTACACCAAACTGCTTCTGATCTCTGTGCAACACAGTGGCGATTTCAAGACTTACCATCAGCTGCTCGACATCTGGAGACTAGCTCCCACAAGACTAGGCCCATGGCATACATGTCTATTCTTAGAAAGGCATCTCTCTGGAAGTTTATTGCCCCTTCTAATACCTCAGGAGCCATGTATCTTCTTGTTCCCACCTGAGACAAAAAGAAGAGTCTGCTTTTTGACACTGAAAGGCAGCAAATAGAGAACCATATCTATCTATATTTGAATTCAGTAGCACCCTGGAGATCACATGGACTTTCAGGGAATGGGCTTGTGAGCGTCAACGCTACCTTCAGCTGCTATGAACATCTGGAGCAGAGGTCCATCAGTGGCTCTAAGCCACAACGTATAGAGCAGTGATGGCGAACCTTTTAGAGACCGCGTGCCCACACTGTGACCCAAAACCCACTTATTCATCGCAAAGTGCCAACACGGCAATTTAACCTGAATACTGAGGTTTTACTTTAGAAAAAACACAACTCATACATTCACTTAAGATGATCCAAACATAGTAAGGAAAGCAATCCCAAATGCTTTCATTTACTTAAAATTATTTGGCAGAGAATTCGACACTTTAATGATGGTCTGGGCCTGGCTGGGGCGATGGCACGCGTGCCCACAGAGAGGGCTCTGAGTGCCACCTCTGGCACCCGTGCCATGGGTTTGCCACCACTGGTATAGATCGAACACTCTGTCCGGGGCACTGATGCGCTGTCTTCTTGGTGCTTGGGGGGCAACAATTGGGAGGGTTTCTGAAATTCTGGCCCCGCTGACAGACCTCCTGACGGCACCTGGGTTTTGGCCACTGTGTGACACAGGGTGTTGGACTGGAGGGGCCACTGGCCTGATCCAACATGGCCTCTCTTATATTCTTACAATTTTATAGCTTTGTTATATTATCACTCATAGTTTCCACTGTCTGCATACCATATGGTATATATTTACTGCCCAGACTATTTTGTGAATTGTAAACTGAGAGTGCGGGAGGTAAATCTTTTATGTAAACAATCAACATCCTTTAATGACACAGCCATTTTCAGTCCTGGTAGTAACACAGGTAAGTAAGAGAGGTATTCCTGCCCTTCCGACCCCCGGTGTAGGCTAAGCGGGTGTCCTGAGCCAGCGGAGGTAGCCACTTGCCAAGCTGAAGGCAGCCACCAGCCAAGGGCTGTCCAGATGCTTGACCGGCCAGCTCTGTGGTATTACACTGACTGAACAGAAGAACATAAGAGAAGCCAATGTTTGGATCAGGCCAATGGCCCATCCAGTCCAACTCTCTGTCACACAGCGGTCAAAAAAACCAGGTGCCATCAGGAGGTCCAGAATGACTCCACGCGCCGCCACCCTGTAATTCGACCGAGCAACGCAGCCGACTTGTCTTGCTTCCTTCCCCACTAATAGTAATGTCCATTGTACCAAGCAAATGCTGCTGCTTTCTGCTGTCACAGCCTCTATGACTACCTGAGATGGTGCACACCGACTCCTCTTTTGGCTAAGCTGCGAGTGTTACCTGTCCGTGGGTGTCTCCTGGGGGTTTTCCAGGCTCAAACCGCACAGCCAGTCCGAAGTCGGCCAGCACGGCTGTCAAGTCGTTCTTCAGCAATACGTTTTTACTCTTGAAGTCCCTGCAGCCAGACGGGGGAAGAAAATAAAAAGGAAATAGACGGATGTTTTCATGCAGAGCAGATCTTGCTCCACTGCAGCAACCGTGACCGAATCTCGGCCGACTGAACTGGTGGGTGGTGCGATCCGGATTCAACCCTAACCTATGAGGATCCTGCAACCGGTGTCAGTGTAAGGCTGCTTGTGCCTAAAATATAGGAACTTTCAAACAGGCTGTGAGTTGGTTATGAGAAAAGGTAAAGGCAAAGGTTTCCCTTGCTCGAAAGCCAGTCGAGTCCGACTTGAGCCATCGCAGCTCCTGAGAAAAACCCAACAGTAATTAAAAATACACTCACACACACCAAATAATCACTACTTTTGACAAACACAGCTTCATTTTTATCAGAGGAAGGGCTTGGGGGGGGGGACACGCCGGAATGGAGTTCCGGAACCTCTTCAACAAAGTCCTCTTTAAAATGTTTAAAACTTCATGAGTTTTCAGTCTACAGATTGAAAACGTCATTTCCCTCTTGAGAGTTCTGGCACCTCCCCCCCCAAAAAAAGCCCAGAGCTGAATCTACAAATAAGATCCAACTGTTTTTTTGGGGGGAGAAATCAGAACTCTTTTTAAAAGGCTCTCTCACGAGACTTGCTGCAAATCACGCAAACAGCTGGGACACCCCAACTCTGCCTTCTCCTCACCCTATCTGACACGCGCTGCCAGAAGTAGTAGTAGTAGTAGTGGTAATAATAATAGACTGGATTTATACCCCACCTTTCACTACCCAAAGGAATCTCAGAGCGGCTTACAAACTCCTTTCCCTTCCCCTCCCCACAACAGGCACCCTGTGAGGTAGGTGGGGCTGGGAGAGCTCTTGACAGAAACTCCTCTTTTTCAAGGACAGCTCTTATCAGAACTACGGCTTGCCCAAGGTCATCCAGCCAGGTTCTCCCAGATTAGAGTCCACGCACTTAACCACTACACCAAATAACAAAGAGTTTTCAGCTAATCCCAGCTCCCTTACAAATGGAACTCTACAATACAGGCATTTGGAAACCCATATTTTGTGGCAGTCATACTTTACTTAGCCACGGCCCTTAAAACAGCTCGGGGTACACCAACAAAAAAATTATGTGCAAAGGGGCCTTCCAAAAGGGTGTGTAAATAACTTTGCTGCAAGTTCCCCAAATAAGGCCAGCCTCGGAGACCAGCTCCTGAAATCCCTTATTGTTTTATGTAATTTCAGGCCCAAGGCCCACACTGTCCTAGAAAGCTTAGCTAGGCATTCGAATGCTGGCTGTTGGCTTGGCTCCCTTTGGAGAAGCTTACAGGGTGAGCTTTCATCCTTACCTAAGACGCAAGTAAAAATCCCTGCTTATTAAATCGCTCCCAGACTTTCCAACACTTACAGGGCGGGGAGGCGAGGGAAGGAGGAGGAGGGTGTGGGTGAATATAATTAAATTACAGACCTTAGGCGGCAGATGGCAAGCCCATGTGTGCTCAGCATTCGAATTCTCCTGCCAGCCATTCAATTCACTGTGGTAACCCTGCCGGTCGGACGGCAGGACGACCAAGGGGCTGTGCAATATAATTAATGAGGGCAGATACAATTGTTTTCTAAACCGTCCTGTCAGAATATGTTACGAAGAGAGACACCGCGACCGAGGCGGAGAGAGAAAGGGGTAGGGGAAGAGTTCAGCGAATTCCCAGGGTGCGGAACGCCCCGCAGAAGAATGGCCGAGGACAAATCTCTCTCCTTCTGAAGGCGGGGGGGGGGGAATAACAAGTTTGGAGGGAGAAAGAGCTCTTCCTTACGCCAGAGGCACGGGAATATGGGCACAGGTTGGCTGGGAGAGACAAGGAGGAGGAAATTCTTCCACGCGCTGAAATCTCTCAGTCAAATTATGTCAACTTATGTTTTGATTTTATATTATGATTACTTACTTTGTTACACTTTACAAACTGCTTGCTCCCCCCCCCCCCATATGGGGTTATAGGGAAGAAGAAGAGGAGGAGGAGGAGATTGGATTTATACCTCGCCCTTCACTACCTGAAGGCGTCTCAGAGCAGCTTACAATCGCCTTTCCCTTCCCCTACCTTCCCCACCCCTCCCCTCCCCACAACAGACACCCTATGACTGCAATGTTCCCGCTAAGCTGTGGAGTCTTGTGAGCAAAAATTATACTTTGTGAGCTGCTGGCATTGAATTCGTGAGCAAGTAGTTTGGCTACTGCATAAATTAGTTTGCTCTGGAGCCATCCTCCCTGAACTAAAACAAAAATGTGTGAGCCGGAGGCTAAAAAACTGTGAGCTAGCTCACACTAACTCAGCTTAGAGGGAACACTGCCTGTGAGGTAGGTGGGGCTGAGAGAGCTCTTTAGAGGACTGCTCGTGAGAGAACAGCTCTGAGAGAACTTGTGTCTGAACTAGGTCAGACCAGCAGTGTCATGGGCATGGATGAGGATGAGCTGACAGAGCCTGCAGAAACCACAGCTGCCCCCCCTGAAGCAGCAGAGGAAGGTAGCTGGCAAGTGCCTGTAACAGCAGTCTTCACACCTGGCCCAAATAAGGAAGAACTGCAAGCTGAAAGTCCTCCTGACTCACCCCCAGGTGTGAATCGTTTAAGGGAGCGACTGCGGCAAAACTTAGCAACCAGGCGAAGAGAGGCCAGGCTACAAGGGAGACGCGCAGCCAACCCAGAGTTCTAACAGGAGCCTGGCCGATCGTGCAGCTGGCTAATTGGTAGCAGCATTTAACTCCACACTCTGGGTGCTACTCTTCCTGGAAGCAACAAGTCAGCTTTGTGCTGCTTGCATCCACTCCGGCTTGGCTCTTGCACCTAGACCTTTGGACCCCCTGGCTTTGGACTTGGCTCTGTGTTCCTGGCTCCAGACTCCGGCTTGGCTTTGGACTACGCTCCTGGTTAGTGATTTGGACTTGGCTCTGTGTTTCTGGCTCCTGACCCCGGCTTGGCTTTTTGGACTTTGCACTGTCTTCTTGGCTCCTGACCTTGGTCTGTTCTGGACTCCCTTTGGACTGGCACCCTAGCCCGTGACAAGCAGCCACATATGGAGGAGTGGGAAATGAAACCTGGTTCTCCCAGATTAACCACTGGTAAAGGTAAAGGTTCCCTTGCTCAAAAGCCAGTCGAGTCCGACTCTATGGTTGCAGTGCTCATCTCCGTTTCAAAGCCGAAGAGCCAGCGCTGTCCGAAGATGTTTCCGTGGTCATGTGGCCAGCATGACTAAACACCAAGGCACACGGAACGCTGTTACCTTCCCACTGAAGTGGTACCTATTTATCTACTTGGAATTTCTTGCTTTCGAACTGCTAGGTTGGCAGGATAACCACTGTTAACGGGGTGTCAAAAGTGTTGCCAGACGGTGGTTTGAGCACACCCACAACTGCAACTTCTACTTTAAAAATTAAGGAAAACAGCTGGGGTTACCTGCTCTGGGTTAGAAACACCTGGAGATTTGGGGGGAGGTGGAGCCTGGGGAGGGCGGGATTTGATGAGAGGATGGACCTCAGCAGGGTATAATGCCGTAGAGTCCACTGTTCAAAGCAGCCATTTCCTCCAGGGGAACGAATCATGGTTCATCTGGAGATCAAATGTAATAGCGGGGGATTTCCAGGTGTCACCTGGAGGTTGGTAACCCTAGGAACAGCACCACACCTGGTCATTTTCTGATTACACCGTTTATAGCCATGCAGAGTCAAGGCAGCCATCTTGTGTGTGACCAAGGGCTTGTTATGACCCACTAGGAAGTTCTCATTTGCAAGGCATCTCAACATGAAGGGGACTAGTGCCATAACAATCACGGGTATTATTGACGGCTCTTGTTCCCGTTTTGTTTATTATCCAGTAGGGTTACCAACAACCTGAAGGGGGGGAAAGTCTTGCCCCTTTAACAGAGGCTTAATGTATGGAAACAGCACATGAAGCTCTTTGTAGCATGGAGATAAATAACATCACCTGGTTAACAGAAGAAGAGGAGGAGATTGTATTTATACCCCGCCCTTCACTACTCAAAGGAGTCTCAGGCCCCGGCCACACGTGCCGGAAAACGTGGGGGGGGGGGAGGCGTGGCTATTTGCACCGTCGCATTCTGATCAGCCATTATGCGATCAGACGTGATGGCAGCACACAGAGGTTTTGTCCTTTGGCGTGCGCTGCAAAGAGGACGGAGGGAGGGAATAGGCACGCGCCGGCGCGATCACACCCAACGCGTCCGTCTGCAGCCTGTGGAAAACCATTTGCTAGTAGATCTTTGCAGTTACTTTCTAACTGCGCATCTTTGGCTACGCTTCCCAGATGTTGTGGTGTGATCGCACCCCGAAAATCCGCCCAGCATTCGTGCCTTTCACGCGGCAAATTCTCCATGTAACCGGGGCCTAAGAGTGGCTTACAATCTCCCTTCCCCTCCCCTGAGAAGTGCTCATGAGAGAACAGCTCTGAAAGAACTTATGACTCATCCAAAGTCACACCAGCAGCTGCCTGTGGAGAAGTGGGGGATCAAACTCAGTTCTCCCAAATTAGAATCCGCGCTCCTAACCACTACATCAAGCTGGCTCACTAAGTCTCTATTAAAGAGGCAGGGTGTTTTTCTCTCCAGACAGCTGGACATAGGGTTTACAGGTGCCCTCCTGCCCACCTGCAGGGACTGGGGGGGTAGGGTTGCCAGATCCAGGTTGGGAAGCCCCTGGAGATTTGGAGATAAGAGCCTGGGGAGGGCAGGGACCTCAGTGGGGTACCGTGCCACAGAGTCCACCCTCAAAAGCATCAATTTCCTCCAGAGGAGCTGATCTCTGTAGTCTAGAAACAAGCTGTAATTCTGGGTGGTCTCCAGGTCACACCTGGAGGCTGGCATCCCTAGCTGGACACTTTATTCCCAGGGTAAACGACCAACCAAACAGCAACAGGCGAGGACCATCTGAGCAGTGTATCACTAACACAAAAATCCTCTCTAACCAATTATGCCTAGAGTGCTACTTGAGGCCTGTTAACGTTAATATTGTATA